GGCGAAATGCATTTCTTTTTTTGTGATGTTGAGTTGAGATGGACTAAGCCAATAAATTTGTGACTTATATATCCAGATAATAAACAGTCGTAATTATTTGTAAGAATCATATATAAAACGCAACAACAACAAAAAAAGCGGCCGTAATAGCTAAAGTCTGTGTGTGTGTGTGCGGGTTGCAAACTTTGGGTGGAAACAAAAAAGGAATTCGCTTTTCTAATAGAGCAAGTTAGTTCCCCGAGATGACGTCCCTATTACCAAGTACCTACACGTGCTGCAATGTAAATAAAAGAGAGAACTGAATTCCGCAAACATGGGGAGTTATAGTGGGTTGATCATGATCCGCTTAGAAGGGCGTTGCCAAGTATTCGTTGCTTTGTCTAAACCGCTTTTAAACTGGAATCTCTTGCCTTACCTGGGTCTTTACATGCGTATTTCGAAAATGCAGGCCTGTTTCAAATCTTCCAACAGGTCACAAATACATGAGTGTGATTGAATCCACTCGCAATTGCTTTGTTTATTAGTATTCTACAAAGGTGTCTGTTAACGTAGACCGAAAGACAACTTTGTGTATCTTTATGAAAATTGGTAACGGTCTCCAAACGTGCCTAAAGATGTTACTCAGTGAAGGAGCAATTCATTGCTCCTCTACTAAATTAAGAATCGAAGTTGTAGACTAGCGTGCAGTTTGCCAATTTAATGGCTTATCTTTACTAAGCACAGAGAGGAACTTTAAAAAATAGACTGAGTTCCTAAAGAATATTAGCCTAAACGTTATGTTTTAATAATAAAATAAATGTTCACGTCTTTCCACTCTGCGGTGTCGAGACCACCTTTCAAATAGTGTATAACTATATACACGCTTTTAATCATTATTCTACTTCGACCGCCCGTCTGCTGTGAAATGAAGCTGGCATCGAATTTCTGGAATGTTTGGTTTAATTTCAATATAAAAGAACTACTTATTATTTATTTATTATTTCAGCGATAAACGTTCTAACGACGAATGGGCTGACGAGCGAATTACACAATACGGGGAGAAAACTGTGTTACCCTGACATTAAGTATTATTAGGCAACTCACAAACCTAGCCTAAATCTCGTTCAGTAAAACTTTATTTTAATATTTTTATAATAATTTATGTCCCGACGTTCTTTCGCTATATACATCCAATTAGTTTATAATTACCTACACGATCTTAATCGTTATTCTATTTCGATCGCCCGTCTGCCATAACACAGCTCCTGTGGGAAATTTCTTAAACTTTTGGGAACCTTTAGGTTATACAAGCACTGTCTGGTCCTTTTATAGTCATCACTTTACTTTTTTGAAAATGAATTTTTCGAACATTCTTAGTCCACAACCGAATAAGCCTCGAAAACTCTACACTTACACCAAGAGTGTTTCACATCAACAAACTCAAGTACTTTCGATATTCATATTTAAGAGTAAAAGAAGTTCTCCTCTATTTTATTGAATTTGTTCACGAAGCTGCTTAAGTCAAAGGAGAAAGAGCCCAATAATATGTCACTTATCGCGGATGTCAAGGTTTTAGAAGCTAGCGATAGCGATTTTTTTCTTTTCACTTCTGATATTTAGCCCATATCTAACTAAAGGTTTTCAACGAAAAGGATTTAACGGAAGGATTTAAGGAAAACAAAAACAGAAACACAAATTAAATGAATCGAATAGACCAGTGCAGTATAAACAGGGAACCATCACAGTAGCTGTTAATTAAACTCGTTAACTATTCCCAGACTGTACTGTTCTCTTGTCCGTTGGTCTGTATCTATGTATTTGGTGGTCCAATAGCTCATTGTCGAAAATTACACTCATTTACACGCACAAACAAACACATACACACATACACACACCATCCTCATGAAACCATATCCATTTCTTAACTTGCAGGCATTATTGCTGCTGACCTTATACATATACATATAAAAGAAGACAAACTTGGACAACTGAATTCCCCTTTACCAGCGGTGATCTCCTTCCATCTTCTCCTTATGATGGGCTCCAAGTCTCCGTTTTCCATCAAAAACTAAATGTATCTTTTGCAATCTTATTTTTTTGTTTTATTTTATTTTATTCAATATACGTAATTTTTTAAAAGTAAATTAATTTCTTACGTTTATTTAATTTAAGTTGTCATTTATTATTTTTATTTTACTTTTTTTTCTTTTTTTTTTTTTTGCACAAATTGGTCATTGTATTGTTATTTCTCCTTCTTTCTTATTTTTTTTTTTTTTTTTTTTTTTTTTGCATTAGAATATTCACCGCTCGAAATGGATGAAGAGAAGGATGTGTACGCCAAAAGGTAGAAATGTATGCACAAACAAACAGTGTAGATATTCGTTTGCGCACGAATTAATATGTATATGTGAACGATTTAAAACCCACAGGCTGGTAATGGCTTATTAGAATAGCCTGATTTACTGTCGTTTTCCTTTATTGGAAGGAGAATGGTTTTTTTGTTCATACATAAAAATATTCGCCAACGTGTCATAGGAGTTGCTTTTCTTTTTTTTTTTTTTTATTCAATACATATTCATACAACGGTTTTTGGGGTTATAATATTTATTTTTAAACTGTCTTAAGTTATTTTAATTTTCCTTCTTTTTTAACCACGTCGCAAGTCTGCTGGCTCTCTCCGACGGTGATCAACCTTGACTCCTCGTTGTTCTCGCCCTTCTTCTCATGCAGCGTCTCAACATTTCTAAGCAAAAGACACCCTTATGCGATATAGACAAACTTCGGACTTTCTCTTTTCATAATTCTCTCTTGAAATGAAGCTACCATGCAAGCGCAGAATTATGAAAAGAGATCTTATAAGCAATACTACTCGTTCTGTAATCCCCCATTTCTTTACGCGGACATTACACATTTTTTATTAATATAAAGTTCCTTAAGCTATTGCCGCCCGGTATCTCCTGATTTTAATTCTTATATTAAAATTTCTATTTGATCTCTAGAGTGCGATAATAGCTTTTGGTAAATTGCTGTCCGCTCGCTCGCTTTTGACTTTGAACTTAAATATTGAAACCTGTGTACGACTTACACATAGTTTTCTGTTTCAATTCTTAAGTATTTTCAGTTTTAAATTCACCTTGTATATTTAACCAACAGGATGGCCGCTAAGATTATGAATGAAGTCAAGACCATCGCTAAAAAAAGATGCAAAAACTCGGCCTATGGGAGCAGTTTTCTCGACGGCTTAAATAAGATGCGCGTCGATCAAAAGGTAAGCGGGATGTTATAGAAAGATTGCCTGTTCGAGTCAACACATTATTCCATTTTACAGTACTGCGATTTCACATTGGAGGCAAATGGCAAGATTTTCAAGGTACATAAGGTAGCTCTCGCTATTGGTTCGCCTTATTTCGCAAAGATGCTTGAGAGTAAGTAATTGCAGACATAAGCCCACACTTGAACACACTTAAAACGTCTAAATGTTAAAAACTGTTGCAGCTGACATGGAGGAGAAGAGAGCAGGGACAGTTAAGTTGGAGGAGGTAGACGTTTGTACTGTAGAAGCGCTTATTCAGTACGTGTACACCGGTATCATCATCCTGACTAAAGATAACGTTGAAGCATTGCTCTCTGCATCGGATCGATTCCAGATTGAATGGGTGAAGCTGGAGTGCGAGAAATATGTGAAACGTAATCTGAATCCAGCAAACTGCTTTCGGATACTAAGATTAGGTGGTAAGAATATGCAAGAATTCCTGTGAATGAACTCAGATTTTAAGTATTTATTGTCTTACAGATACGCCTTCTTTTACGTCACTGTACGATCCCGCTCACAATTACATCGTTGACCAATTTGATGATTTAATTGAAGTGGAAGATTTCTTGCTGCTGTCATTTGATGAGGTATTTAAATAATTGCATACTAAAGCCTACAGGAATGCTTTTGCAGTTCTTGTCTCTCAATACAAGCCGCTCTTTTAATGTTCCTCAGCAAAGTAGTGCTTTCTTAAATTGAGTTTCTTTCCTACCAGTTAACGCAATCACATCTGTCCTAATAATAATATTTGATTAGATGGAAAGAGAAAGATGAAAATCATGTTAGCTTTGCTAGTCTCGGACTATATTGAATAAACATTTGGATAAAAACAATTTATTATCTAACAAAGGGACGCACCAAGGGCATGGAAGAATAAGATTTTATATTATACATTACAGTAGATATGACGCACACACACATTAACAGCGTCGAATATTTTTTAAAAGTGCCTAAAGCTCTAGATCAGGGGTCCTATTTAAGTCAGGACAGCTGAGTAAAATAATATTCACAGTAGGAAATTAATCTGAAAAATGAGAGTTTGGTGTTTTTCATAATGTACGCGATGATAAAAATCTGTTAAGAGGTTTACAAGAATATCCCATAAACGTCAAACGTGGGAACTCAAAAATCGATTCTTGTTTGAGCGAAGTAGAAAAATATTTGCATATCTAAAGCATTTAATCATACTTTGAAAGTAGTTTGTCTGACTAAATTCGCACAGTTGGTGTATAACTGGTATAGAATTCTCTTTAATTCTACATTAATTTTCCTTTAACGTTTTTTCTAGATCAAGAAATTAATAAAGGACGACCAGCTGGCTGCGGACAACGTTTATAACGCTGTACTAAAGTGGGTTAAATACGACCGAAATAAACGAAAGGTTCATCTGGCGGAGTTAATGAGCCATATTACTTTACCTCTACTCAGCACTCAATTTTTAAAAAGCCAAGTTTCTGCTGAACCTCTGCTTACAGAAGACCGAACGTGCAATAAACTCCTAATGAATGCTTTGTTTCATAAGTTGACGTCAATAGAGGAAGGAAAACCTTTGCCAGATAGCTTGAGGACCCGAAAAAGGCCTAAACATATTGTAACGAGTTTTCTTAGGCGGAGTATATCCAGTCAATCCAGGATCCGTTGCAAGAAAATTTTTAATAAATAATCAGGCCCTTCGGGGGAGAATGGTGTTATGATCTCTTAGCTTTATTGGTTCCTCTTTACTGGACGGAAGTATGAAATGGCTGGGGCAAGGAAAAGGAACCAGCGAGGTGACCCGACTTTGTTGCGCGCTTACCGTTTTATTTTCTTTTCTTACGACGTTAGACTTTCACTTTCTGTTCGATTTCAATATCGCGGGGCGCTGGAAGAAAAGAACCGAAAACTTTGCCAGTGTCATAGCTGCTTAGGCTCGCCTGTTTGTCCCTGGTTGGTGGGTGAGTCCAGTAATAAGATAGTAAAAAAAAGTCTCTCCGTCCTTCAGGGATGGCGATTAATACTAACCAGCGCATCCCCTATCCG